ATTCTGATTTTTAACGAATGTCATTACAATATTTGCCGCAAGCAACACATGTATCGACTAAGTAACTCATAATAACATTTGTCTCATTTCGATTCATAGAAATAGTTGAATACAATTGAATCTGAATAATTGAAAATCAAGAAAGTAGTAACTCGTCATTTCGACGGGTTCAAACACTGTGCAAACACGGTACAAACTTGGTTCTAAATTGACGAATAAACGAAGAAGCTCTTATCAGAAAGGAATTTTCAGTTTATTCGAGTAACTTACGTGACACGTTCATAATGTTGTCAGTTCGTTCTGTCGTGTACATGGCTTTACAGCGGTGTGAATAATTATAGACTCGAAGTAACTTTTACATTTTCAGCGATATTTAAAGAAAAACTTAACAAAACATCATATTTCTATAATTCTATATTAGGAATAATAGCAAATAGAGATATAAATAGTGGTTTATATTAATAATTATGGTGGTTTATAATAATAGTGGTTTCTGTTTTTCTTTAAATATCAGTGAAAACATGAAAGTTGGTTCCACATTATTTATTGTAAAATTAGTACAGCTATGGAACTTCTTTGACAAGTAACGATGAACTTCTTCGTGCAGTTATGGCAAAATTGGGTACAAAATGCAATATAAAATACCAAAAAAATTCAAAAAGCCTTGAAAAGTATCAGTGAATTATTTTTAATCTATTAAAACTATTGCACGAAGAATGAACTTGCTATTTAGTTTCCATTTGTCGCGATCGATGCAGATAATTTTGCATAAAAATCCGCAGTTATTGCAAAGCAACGCGCATCAGTTTCAGAGCTCTGTAGGCTCACTGTTAAGAAAATAAATTTGAAGAAGCTGAAATTACCGTACCGAGAATTGAAGAAGTCCGTTTTTCAGATTGGCGCCAGACGCGCCGAAGATCGCATCGCGCTATAAAACTCGCACTCCGTTAATTGCGCGTGGCGAGGACATCGCTTCGGAGCATTCCGAAAGTCGTTTGAAAAGCGTGAAAATGTGCGAGAATTGAACCGAATTGATCGAATACAGCGGAAAATTCGGATCGCCGACGGTCGGATTATATGCGAAACCCGGCTTCGTCTGGATGAAAACGTGCCCAGCAATTAAAAAAGCTTGTTCAGCTCCGGGAGTTTTATGGGCCGAATGCAGCGCCGGAGAAGCGCATTTGGGAGTAGTAAACGTGTCCTGATGGATTCGAATTCGTCTTTAATTGACCGGTGACGAAACCGTTTTTGTGAAAGTTGCAAAACACGAACGGTACTTTAATTCCATCCGAGACGAACGTCATGTTGCCAATGTAAACCCGTGACGGTTCATTAAACGCCGCGCACGTGTATCGGACGATCGTGCGAATGTTTTTCGGCGGACGACGATGGCGCGCGTCGTTTCGCCTACGACGCGCGTTAAACGAAATATAATGCAACTCGGCACGTCAAGCAAGTATAAACGCAGCGGCTTCTGCTTGTACTTCACTTGGACACCGACCGGTACGACTCCCACGCGATGCGTGCGAGGAGCATGCTGCACGCGTTTTCAAGCCGAGCATGAGGAATACATTTTTTCGCAAAGTTTCCTCCATAAATATGAAACCACCGATGTTTTATTCATCGGCGCAAATCTCGAAGCAGCGACGCTCGACATTACAGCTTAAAATGTTTTCAATCGGCGACTTCAATGACGACTACACGGGAATACACGTTCGTCATATTCTCTGATGTCGGCTGGAATGCTTCTTATTCTCTGAAAGTATCTGCTGTATTTTCCGATGATTCTCCGATTTTTTAAACGACGAAATTCGCGCGGTCTGGATAAATATGCGGTGACGTGAACAATTATAGACTCGAAGTAACTTTTACACTTTTAATAATGTTTAAGAAAAAAATTTCATATTTCTATACTTCTATATTAAAGATGATAGACAATAAATACAAATATAGTTTTCCTTTTTCTTTTTTTTTTATCTAATTTGACTTTGAGTTTATAATTATTTGCAGCACTGTGGGTGGCCTTCTTTAGTTGAGAGAGCCTGTGAGAAGAAAAAAACCTGTTAGAAAATTCTTAACTGTTGATCTTCGATTTAAAAAGAATTATTAAGAAACTGCCGGTAGATGCAGTGTTAGTCCCTTAAGTGATCTGCGAAATTAGAAAATCTAGGCTAAAATTGCCTATCGTTCTTTTCGGATATTAAATGGTTCGCAACGTAACGTAGTTCGTCATTTAATAAAAAGTAAAGAAATAGATCACAAATAAAATAATAAACAATAATAAACAATATAAAGTAATAAAAAATAATAATACAAATAATAAACAATAATACAAATAATAAAAATAATAAACAAAATATTTGATTTGGATTTGAATTTAAATTTTTATTGAATGTTATTGAGCAGAATGCGTGCGTTACGCGAGCCCGTGACTATCATATGCTAGTCACTATAACGTAGAATGTTGCCATTCATTCATGACGAGTATATTCGTCAAAACAGCTAACTGGTAATTTGATATTCTTTATTATATTATATACTTTACAAGAGTTGCATTTAAACAGAATATGTAAAAGGTTATTATATATATATATATATATATATATATATATATATATATATATATATATATTATATATATTATATTATATAATAATATATAGTAATATATAATATAGTAATATATAATATATAATATATAATATATAATATATAGTATATTATATGTATATAATATACCAACGGTGTAATTAC